CAGTTAAGGAAACTAGTAATTCATAGCATCTCGTGGTCAATGTATCCACAATTTTGTGACTTCTTTTGCTAACGAACGCATCAATCCATTAAATTCTTGTAATTTATATTACCTATAGCTTTTAAAATGAAGGGTAGTAGTAGCACCTTCGTAATGTACACATTAGTCTGCAGTCCCTAACGACACCCATAAAGGTGATGGGCGGATGGCAGGAAAGAGGATCCAAATTCAAGATCACTTAACCAATTTTAAGCTTGTAAACTGCTCCTGTTGCCTAAATTTAGAGTATTGTGTTAGTTCTAAGGTCTTCCAAGTGGCGAATGAATAGTTTACTTTTAAAGAATAGAGATCAGATGCCATCTATGGAGGAGCAGGTAATATCAGAACCACTGTGTTTATGATGAAGGGCAAAAAGAACAATGGGACACTTTTTTAAGCTCTTTTTGAGCAATTAATAAGGATTTTGATTTAAAGGCTTAAATATTTATGCTTAAAATGTATTCCTTAAGCCAGTTCTTTTCATAACGTATTCATGGTCTAAGGTTTCTTCCTTTTACTGGCAACACAAATAAATGGACTTGGAAGCACATAACCGGAACGTTAGGTATAACGGTGGTTTTGTAATTAGAAAGCAATAAGCAAGCCATCAGGGCTTTTTAGTTTTTTAGACGTTAATAATATTTGGGCTTAGATAAAACAATTTTTAAAAGGCCTAGTCAAGGCATGATCGAGGACTGAATTTCACGGCGGTTAATGACGCCTTCCCCTACCCTCCCGATATAATAAAATTAATTTAGGGGTACTGCAATACTTTGGGGCACATCAAAGTTAAGCAATAAGTTAGAATTCTGCCTTATTTTTAGTTTTCTCTTTAAATCTATTTTTTGGTTTCATTTCATGGTCTTTGCGCATTCCATTCTTCTGAACCACTTACAATAGGAATTCAACCTTTCGCCGACCCCAAACAAAATCTAGAGGTTATAATTACGTTGGTCATTGGCTTTATAGTATTTGCTGGTGTAACCCTTCGATGTCTTTAATGGAGTAGTAGATTCACTCGCTTTACAAGCAACAAACAGCGCTTTTCCCTTTATGAAATTCTTTCAAGTTAAAAGAACTCACAGTCCCACAAGGCTTTAAGACTCATGGCGCCGCAGCTTGCTACATTTAACATGAGCAAATAAATTTTTTCCGAGTAGAAAGAACATCTATACCCCCTATTTCGGTTACTCGTCTCATTCTCTTTGTTTTAACGCGCAAAAAACGCACCAAAGCCCACAAACAACACTGCGACTTCCACTCCCTCCTTCCCCCTCAATGATGTGACATCACGCATAAGCATTTTATAGCAAAAACAATGGCCTAGTTGTGCTTCTCTGGGATAACTCACATCTGGAACAACGTGAATCTGTTATTATTGCACACATCACCGCGGACTTAGGGATGAATAAACCTCAGCATTAAGTATACCTTCCAATGTAGTTCATAAATGACAAAATATGGAAGCATCATAAAGTGCTGCAGCTCAATAACAAAAAAAGTTACTATGAAGAACTAAAGTCGTTGTAAAGTACTTAAATATGGATGAATTGAAGTAAGTAGTTATGCCATGTAACACACTAAGAGAGATTAAAGCTACCTTTTTCTTAAAAATCTTCAATTTTGAATTCCTCGTTCTCCTAGTAATACCCTGACCGCGAGATTTAAACTCTACTTTGATGGCACCTAAATTGCAGTGACTCAGGTATCTGCCCATATTCTGATTCCGGTATCCATTCCACTGATTTTCCCTTAGGCGTGAGATAAAATGACTGGCAGATTATCCAACACACCAATACCGATTTTTCTGAGGTAGGATTCAATTAGACAGTACCGTGCGGAGGTTGGGCCACCTCAGGCTATTCTCCTTTCACGGCTGACTGTAAAAGCACCAAAAGACAACCAAATAATATTCACAATGTGTGATGTTTTGCAACTAAGGCGAAAGTGTCTCAGCCTAGTGACCAAGGCAGATACATATATACAGATATGCATGCATATATACAGATATAATCACAGACAAATTAAATTGTCCTTCCTCTAATAACTGGAGTTTGCCCCTAGAACAAGTGAATATTTCATTCAGGCATTGCGTGCAGAGATATAGACGATAATGTGTTGTCTCGCTCTCACTCTCTTGCGCTCCCTTACTGTCGTTAAAATGGAGGAATTATTCATTCCTCGAAGGTGTGTAAAATGGCACTACGTCGTGGTAGTGTTTGTAAAGTGACGGTGCTTCTGAAATATTCAGGTGAGGAGCCTTCTTCACAACTCATATAATGCCATTTAGATAAGACAATGCAGTATGCGTGACTTAGGCTGGAAGAATAAAAGTGAACGCATAAATGAGGGATGTGTTCTTGCTACAATAACCTTAAAATAGGTAGTAATTTTCTTCAATTCAAAAAAGGTAAAAGGTTTGAAAATAGTCTTTATTGACTGTTAGATAATTTTAATATTCTTTAAGTAAGATTTCATTGAAAACCGCTTCTCTTGGCTCAATTTTGCATTTTATGAAGAGCACTTTAAGCGGAAGAATGATGAAGAAGAAACACTTAGTTAAAAAACCCTGAGAAGTGACACTTTAAGTACATTCGAATTTAGTTGTCCAATTTATGAAAGAAAGAAAATCTCAGCAATAGCAGCTCCTAGAAAGTTCCTTGAATGCGATAGAAAATAT